AGAAACCTCATGTACCCATCCTGACCGGGTCAAGGATCGACCAATGGATTTTAGAATAATTTCACTTTATTCTTTGTAAAGTCGGGGACCGAGGATGAGGACAAGGATCCCCGAAGTTAAAAATTGGGGACGGGGACGGGACGGGACTTGGTAACATGATATCCAAAACCGTCCATGTATATTTCAAAAGGGTATTTTAAAACCACAAGTGTGGTGCCTGGTTGGTTTGAGCTTGACTCCAAAGATCAAAAGTATCAGAAGGTCTCAGGTTCAAATCCAAGGAGAAATAAAAATCCTCTTGTGGCCACGGAGGTTCAAATGCGGTGACTCCGGGCAATCTGCAAAGCAGGTGGTCGTTCTAGGATTAGTCAACTCGCATAGCGGGTTGGATATCCAGATTAATAAAAAAAAGGTATTTTAACCTTTCTTTTTCTATTTTGATTTTGTTGAATCGTTATTGATATACACGACTTTGAATCACATGATTTTGATTAAAATTTTGTTTTTGTATTTTTGATTTAATTGATTTCGGTTATTGGTAATGTTGATTTGGTTTTGTTTGAATATAAATACTGGTAAACCATTTTTGACATTTGATAGCACCTATTTTGTTTGTAAATTTGAATTTGAAAAAAGAATCTCCAAATTCTCTGTTGGAGAGAATGATGAGAATGTGATCATATTCTTTTAACTGGGATGGAAATGAGGACAGAGGTTGCGATTATTTTATTATGAACATACAAAAAAAATTCAAAAATGTTTGGAATATGTGTCTTAATGTATTAAGACATTTATCCATTTAGGGGATAAAACAAAACATAAAAAGATAAGCAAAATGGCCCCTAAACTTTTTGTAAAGTAACAACAAACCCTAGATAGGTTAAGAAAGTAGCAAAACGGCCCCTGAACCCTACTTAAAAGCCAATAGCAAAATATATCAAGAGGCATGCTTACTCAGAGAAAATGTTTGTATATATCGTTTCATATAGATCTTAATTTCGAATAGGATATAAGAAGCATAAGGATCATTTCGCTTGTAATCATCATGGCTCCGAAACCAACACGCAGACCCATATGCCTATTGATTCAATTCATTACAATATAATACATGTCATGTCCCTAGGGTTCAACCACATCCAAACATGAAATTTTCCAATCACTATGCAATTTTAGCAATAAGTCATTTTCGTTCTCAACACCATATGATATATTCGCTATTTTAGAAGGAACCATCATAAGGCAATCTTTCCAAAGCATGTGGGTACTTCATGTTCAACAAAAAAATGAACAAAGTCATTTTCTTTTGTGCCACAAATCTAACATAACTTAAAAGCCCATAAGATTTATACTTCAAAATGCTTTAGAGATTTGGGTGGCGTTTGGTTCGTAAAATGTTTTTGAATGGAATGGAATCTGTCAAAGTAATTTGACTTTGAAGGAATTGGAATGAAATGTTGTCAGGTTTGACCATCTATTTGGTTAGCAGAATTGGAATGTAATATGTTAAAAGAATTGGAGTATGTCTGTTTGGTTCACATAATGTAGCATTAGAATTTGAATGAAATTATGGTAAAACAGATATCGCATATGGAAATCAATATAACAAACAGATACAACATCTATTAATCGAAACCATAGATCGAGAGAGTAAGGTGAAGCATAAATCGAACCATACAACATTAAACAAATCAAACCGTAAACAAATTGAAACAAAAATCGAACCAACAAACTAAAATCGAACAAAAACTGAAGCATAAACCGTAATAAATCCCGTAAATCACAGCGAAAGCTAATGGAGAAGACGAGAGAGTATTTAAAAACTTGTGGTGAAAACCACAAGGGTGGTGTCTGATTGGTTTGAGCTTGGCTCCAAAGGTCAAAAGTATCAGGAGGTCTCAGGTTCAAATCCAAGGAGGAATAAAAATCCTCTTGTGGCCACGGAGGTTCAAATGCGGTGACTCCGAGCTATCTGCAAAGCAGGTGGTCGCCCTTGGATTAGTCGACTCGAATAGCGGGTTGGATATCCAGGTTAATAAGAAAAAAACTTATGGTGAAGATGAGATCGACCCTGGTGTCACAATGGAGAAGACGAGATGTTCTCGAGAGTTGTTCTAGATCGATGAGAAAATGTGTCGGTTGTGAAAGATATTAGGGTATATTTGGGGTTAAAGGGTATTTTGGGAATTATGAACAGGTTAAATTTCATTCCATTAAAATACCATGTATATCTCATGGAATGTTAAAATCCCCCATTTATGGAATTTGATAGAATTTAAAGATTCATTTCAGTACAAAGAACGAACCAAACAAATGAATGGAATGTGATCAAAGGAATTCAATATTCCAATTCCATCAGATTTCTTTAGAATCTGTGAACCAAACGACACCTTAGATATACCCCTTTTATAGCATTTCCAAGAATCCAAGTATTTAGCCTATCAAAGTGACAAAATCCCCAAATTATCCAACATCACCAAAATGGACAAAACCACCAAATACAAGAACTACATCATAAGGAAAGTCTGGAAGACTAACATATAACATTTTAACATGTATATAGTTTTAAAAAATAGTAAGATAAACTCACAATACTAAATTTTGACTAAAACCTAAAAACAAGGTGAAATCCTAAAGATACGGATGAGATCTTTGAAGCTTTAAACTCCAAAGTCTAGACCCAAGCTTTAAATGTCTCTTAAACCTTTTGAAACTTTGCCATGAATGCACCCAAAATCACACCAATGAGTAAAGTGAGAGGAGAGGTGAAAATGAAAAAAATCCTAATAAAAGACCCTTAAATATGGATCATACCATTTCTTGCAATCTCACTTGCCTCCAAAACACCTTCACCACGTGACACGTGTCATGCCTTGGGTTACGAGCCTAGCCGTGCAACTCTCTGCGAATCCCCGGTCCATATAGAGCTACGTGACCTTAGCCGTGACACCAAGTCGCACCCTAGGTCGCGTAGAGTCCAATAAGCTCCTTTTGCTCAGACCTGGCACCAACAAAACTCGCAACATCTTTAACCATCAACCAAATTCAATATTAAACATTTTCGTGGTGAAATACAAGTGAGATCATGTTAGAAAAAATTTAAGGATCACAGTATATCTGAGAGTCGTGTAAACACTTTCAGATCGAAATATTTCGATGGTGCTATCGAAATCTTCAATCGGATAAAACTCAGAAAAAATGAAAACAGAGAATGTGTTTTTGTTCTATATGAACAGCACCCAAATTACAGCATATMTCTGATCAATAAAACTGTAGTTCGGTTATAATTGCCAAAGCAGTTATCAACCACCAAACAGTTCAATAAAACCTCCATCGATCAGCAGCTAAGTCAATCTATTACACTTAAATAACATTGGTGACAAAATCACCAACAATCCTCCCCCATTTAAGTGTAATCCTGATTAACTTATGTTAAACTCATAACAAACAACAAACTGATGCATAAATGAAATATCGTAACGATTGAATTTCATATTAGTATATCAGCATTTCAAATATTCGAATATCAGAGTGTCACTAAGGATTGAACTCTTTCTATTCATAGTGAATACATGAAGATAATATACACAACAGTTTACACATTCACATGTTCTACTTGACACTTATTTTACTAGCTTGTGTCCTATCCTTCAATAAGCATATCAAAGCCAAGTCCTAAGCTTCTTGAAGCAGCTAAACTTCATGCTTATATAGGTAGTCTTTTACTCTTGCACCTGCACATGCAATTTGTCAAAAAACTATTAAGAAATAAATTTCAACCTTCTTTATCTTGCAGTCTGAACACATACCGTGGGATGATGTGATTATGTGTTCCAATCCGAAGATATCAAGCTTTCCTCATTGAATTCAGCATCTAACATTACGTAAGATGGGAATTGGGTATCTTGATACAAGGATTTAATTAGGTGGACTTTAAACCCATCCCAATAGCCGCCTTGTGTACGAGATCTCTTGACAACCCTTTGGTTAAATGGTCGGCTAAATTCAGTTGAGTTTTTACAAACTCCACAGATATCACACCATTCAAGATAAGATCACGAATCATGCTATGTCTAACACCTAAGTGTCTAGACTTGCCATTGTACACTTGACTATAAGCCTTAGCCAAGGTAGCAGCACTATCACATCTAATAGAAATGGTAGATATCGGTTTAGGCCACAAAGGAATTTCATAAAGCAAATTCCTCAGCCACTCAGCTTCATTACCAGCTGCAGCCAAAGCCACAAACTCGCATTCCATGGTTGAGTGTGTAATACAAGTCTGTTTCTTTGAAGCCCAAGAAATAGCACCTCCCCCAAGAAGAAATACCCAACCACTCGTAGATGAGTGATCCTCTGTATTATTAATCCANAATGAAAACAGAGAATGTGTTTTTGTTCTATATGAACAGCACCCAAATTACAGCATATCTCTGATCAATAAAACTGTAGTTCGGTTATAATTGCCAAAGCAGTTATCAACCACCAAACAGTTCAATAAAACCTCCATCGATCAGCAGCTAAGTCAATCTATTACACTTAAATAACATTGGTGACAAAATCACCAACAGATCACAGGTGTTACACATTATAAAGTAAACGAAAAGAAAAATAAAAGGGATATTAATAAAAATTATAAGTGACATAATTAAAAGAGATGGAAAAAATGTTGACATAAACTATTTTAAGTAGGGTTTTCAGAAAATAAATGAATATAAACAAATTAATTTCAAAAAATAAATCAAGTTATAATTATTAAACATAAGATTGGTTTAAATCGGAAATTTTGACGTCAAGAAAGAGTTGCGTGAAGGTGAAGGTGAAGGTGAAGGTGAAGGTGTCAGCATTCAGCAATCTGAAGGTACTCAAAATGCAATATTCCACTTGACCTTTTAGTAATAAGTAATAAGCCAGCCCAAACAGCTCCCTCGTCTCCGTCTCCCTCTCCCTCTCCCTCTCCCTCTCGGCCAAATACATCAAAATCAAATAAATTTGTAAAAAATCTCGATTGCGAGTCCTTATAATGTCTGTTTTTCCTTCCAATTTGGGGACCAAAACCCCACAGCCTTTCTTCTTCAACAACAATTTTCTGAAAACCCATTTAAAGCTCTTCGTTTCCTTCCATAATCGCAATTACCCAAAATCCAGAAACCCCATTTTGTGTCTCCCCAATTCGAATAAAAAACCCCTGTTTTCTGACGAAATGGAGAAGAACAGCAATTGGGTTGCAGCCATTGAATCAGCCCCAGATGGGAAATACGATATGGAATTGGAAGTCGCGGTGAAAGCTGTTCATGTTGCTTGTTTGCTTTGTCAAAAAGTTCAAGAAAATTTGATCTTTAATGGTAATGAAGATGTTCAAGCCAAAGATGACAATTCCCCTGTCACAGTTGCTGGTAATTTTGACTTTCTCTTCCAATTTTAAATCTGATTTCCATATTTTCAGTTTTTGTAATTGCTTGAAGATTGGTGAAAATTGAGTTTATGTGGATAGCAAGAACAATTCTATCTTCGATTAAGAAGCCATTAATTTGATTTCTACTCATTAATGGACTGTGAGAACTGTACTTTGACTTTTGAAAGTCAAACACACAGGTTCAAAGTGACAAGTCAGAGAAATGACTCTTTGGTTTTCAGGTGTTGAAGAGGAGAGGGTTCAATAATAGCTTTAGGTATATAGACTCCCTACCTTTTAAAAGAAAAATGGTTTTATACATATTTATCAAAGATTTTGGTTTGATTAAAGTATCATATAAGGTTATTATATCTAAATATCTTGATATCTAACTCGCTATGTGAGCGGATTAATCCCAAGGCAACTTGTGGGTAGCCCGTAGTCACTGCATTTGAACCTCTATGGTCATGAGGGGATTTTAATTCCTACCCAGATACTTTTGACCTCAAACTCAAACCAATCAGGTCTCACACGGATTGTATCTAAATATCTTGTTGTATGAATGTAAAAAGATATGGGCCTTACTGGTACACCCGTTTTATTTTGATGTATGCTCTCTAAATTAACAAAAAAATGGTTGCAACCGTTGATAGTATTATTGTATGTGATTTTACAGGTTGAAAGTTAGAATTTTTTTTTTAAATCTTTTTGGTAAAAGAAGGAGAAAAGAAAGAAAAAATTGAAAAACCAATCGAGTGTTACCAATAAATATTTAATAAACCATACTTCGTGGGGTGTTTGGGATTGCTTATAGAAATAACCTATTGACTTATTTTAGTGTGGCATCGGTGATAAGGACTTCTGAGCCCGGTGCCAAACCGGTAATAAGGAATTTTTGAAGAAGTTAAACCATTCTAACTTATAATAAGTTGATAAGGCCTTTTGTAAAAAAATATAAGTTGTTTCAAATAAGCAATCCCAAACACCCTATTCTTATAATTAATTTTTATTCTAAGAATTATCTTGCAAATTTTTATGAACAGATTGGAGTGTGCAAGCAACTGTTAGCTGGATATTATCCCAAGCATTTGGAGCTCAAAATGTATCAGTTGTTGCAGAAGAAGATATTGAAGCCCTTTCCAAAAGCAACGCAATCAGTCTCCTGTCATCCGTTGTAAAAACCGTCAACGATTCCTTATCCGCCGCATCCATTTTCGGCATCGAACCTCCGGTCACCGCTCTGGAAACCACTCAAGTTCTCGAAGCCATCAGTCGGTGCAACTCGACCGGTGGGCCCACAGGCCGATTCTGGGTACTCGACCCGGTGGATGGCACCCTTGGATTTGTGCATGGGGACCAGTATGCTATCGCTCTAGCACTGGTCGAAAATGGGGAAGTGGTGCTCGGGGTTCTTGGTTGCCCGAACTACCCGATGAACAAGGAGTGGTTAGATTACCAAAATGGGTATCGGAGGATTCTTTCGAGATTGACTAAATCAAGCTCGGAAAGTTGGGGCGGAAAAGGGTGTGTGCTTTATGCAAAGAAAGGTAGCAAGAAAGCTTGGATGCAGCCGTTGGTAAGCGGAGATAAGGGTTGGGTGTGGCCGAACTCTGCGAGGCCAATCAAGGTGTCAGCTATTGATAATCCTATTTTGGCTACGTTTTGTGAACCGGTGGAGAAGGCAAACTCGAGCCACTCGTTCACGCAAGGGTTAGCCCATAGCGTCGGCCTCAGGTACGAGTTCTATTCTATCTCTTCTCATATCTTTCAAATTTGATACAAAGGTTAATGACCTTACCCCCTTTGCCAACGTTTAGACTCCAAGCTTAGTTTGATCCAAGTGAATGTCTAAAGTACCCTTAAGCAATGATAAAGGTAAAGGCTATGATTTAGGCTGATAAATTTTAATCTTCGAGGGTAAATTTGTAAACTTCTCTACGAAAATGTTTTTACTTTGGTCAATAAAAAATTTAATTTATCCATATTGAATGTTACACCATCCGTGACCCTGCAAATAGGGCTGTAAACGAACCGAACGAACACGAACGAAGGCTTGTTCATGTTCGTTCGTTTAACTTAACCGAACAAACGAACGAACACGAACGGTAAACGAACAAAAATATTTGTGTTCGTGTTCGTTCGTTTAGAAATCAGGTGTGTTCGTGTTCGTTTATGTTCGTTCGTTAACATGCTAAACGAACGTAAACGAACGAACATAAACGAACGAGCTAAACGAACATAAACGAACGGGTTAAACGAACATAAATAAATATTATTTGAATTCAAAGTAAATAAATAAAAGATTATAATATTAAATTTAATATATAAACGAACATAAACGAACGAATATAAACGAACGTAAACGAACGGTAAATGAACGAAAATTCACGAACATAAATGAACGAACGAGACTCTTGTTCATGTTCGTTCGTTTAACTAAACGAACAAAAAAATTTGTTCATGTTCGTTCATTTATTAAATAAACGAACTTCCCGCCGAACGGTTCACGAACGGTTCGCTGAACGTTCGGTTCGTTTACAGCCCTACCTGCAAAAAGGTTTCAACAGCAATCATGCCAATTTACAAATTTACCCTAGTTATGCAACTAGGCCGAAGGCTAAATTTGTAAATTCAACAACTTTCTATCATTTGACAATTGTACGATTATCATAAAACCATGTCGGGTTTAATTCATATTTAACAATCATTAGCTAACTTATTTGGTTATCGGCTGGTTTGTCGTAATTTGCCAAAAGTAGCTTTATTTCAGCAATGACAGAGATTTTGGCATTCTAACACGTTAATTTACAAGTTTACCCTCGTAGCAAAAGGGAAGCTAGGGCAAACAAGGGTAAAATCGAGAAATGACATGGAAGTTGACCCTTGCAGGAATCAACCATTACGAGTGTACAGTATGGTGAAATACGCAGCCATCGCTCGTGGAGACGCAGAGATCTTCATGAAGTTCGCGAGAGCTGGTTATAAAGAGAAGATATGGGATCATGCCGCCGGAGTTGTCATCATTCAAGAAGCCGGCGGTGTCGTCACAGACGCCGGAGGCCGACCACTCGACTTCTCTAAAGGTATCTACTTGCAAGGACTAGATCGGGGTATTATCGCCTGTGCCGGATCCTCATTACATGAGAAAATCATGAGAGCCGTCGATGCCAGCTGGAACTCTTCTAGCCTTTGATCTTATCATCTTTTCCTTGGATCAAATGTTGTATGAATGGGAAAAACAATATTTCTTCCACTAAAATAAATTCTATGCTCATGTTTGTGTTATCTTTTAATCTCCATTTATTTAATGATGAAAACCTTAGTAATATCATTTCATTTTCACATTCATACTTTTTAATATTTTTAGGGGTGTCAGGGATTGCTTGTTTGAAACAACTTATGATTTTTTATAAAGGTGCTTATCAACTTATTAGAAGTTATAATATAATGGTTTAACTTATTTAAAAACTTCTTATTACCGATTTAACACCGGGATAAATTGTTTATCCAAACAATACCCGTTTTAGAAAACGATTCAGGAAGGGAATCTGAGTTAATATGCTTAGCGTTGTCCTACTTATAAAAACTATCCATAGAAAAATATGCTTAACTTTCAGGGTAAAAAGGAAATGATCAAAATGCAAAATACCAAAATACCCATCATTTAACGAGCACATGATGGTACTTACAAGATGCTTTAACGGTCGCTAGAGTATGGACGAATGGTCTAAGCAAATTGAAACAATGGAACATTCTAGTGTTTTCTAAAACTGCAGTAACAATCGGTGGAGTTTGAGTAATTTATGTAATTTACTCAAAAAAGAACACATTTTCGATCGAGTTAGATAGTAAAACTCAATAATCGTGTTTTTATTTCAAAAAATAACAAGGATTACCATCTCTTATGAACAAACGCATACATCAAAATATCATATAACAAATTTACAGAGAGACACAAAAAACTACCAGTTTAATTTCTGCCATCTTCCTACGACCTTTTTACCAATTAAAACAAGCTTAGAATGAGCATAAACAATGTCGTGTGGCCCGGAGCACACGCGTATCATAGATAACGCGCTCAAAATATTGCCGCTCATGCTGCACCTCAAACAGCATCACGTCTCATATCCGCAGCTCTACCGCTGCCTCGGAAATACATGTACACTTGCTGCACCATCAGAAACATATATCAGGTTATGGGGTCATCTTTTACATGTAAAAATATCATTAGATTACTTTCCAAATAAGCCCTTGGGAAGAGAACAAAGGTTCCAACATATATTGAGGAAAAATTATCCAAGTCTACTCAATGTGGAACTCCAACATGCCCCCTCCAACGGAGATTAGACGAGCACAAATTGTGCCAAGAAGTCGAGTTGATATCAGCTCTGATACCATGTGAAAATATGTGGAACCCCCATTAAATTACTCGCTAAAAGAGCCCTCTGCCCTTGACAAGAGAACAAGGTTCCAACATGTATTGAGAACAAGGTGCAGTGAGGGTACGAACCTGAATAACCCACATGCTGAGCAGCGTCTCAAGACAAAATAGCCCGAACCCAATGAAGTAAAAGATCTATGCAAAATAAATGTAATTAGTACAAGAACCAACTAACTCTGTATCGATAAAAACTGCATAAAAGACATACCCCAACCAAGGCTTGATCACCCACGAGATCAATGGCTGGTAGGATACCTCTGTTCCAACATAAAAAAAGGTGAAAACGTTAATCCCGTATGAACAAAAGTTGAAATTCGGTTAAAGAGAGTATTCAAACGCGTTGATAGTTGTCCCAAATGTCAAAGAAAGTAGTTTCAATTCTAAGTCGAAACAGATATGTTTAATTTTTGGAGGAAATGAATAATTGCATCAAATAGTACAATGTTAGTAGTATTCATGGAGGTTCAAATTAGAAGGGTAAGAAAAGTTGAAAACATATGTCAACCGAAGACGGATTTGATCCGAGGGATGTGATTAATGTATATTCTAAACTAAAATAGATTACCCCTACTTTTTTGTCAAAAATATATGAAATATAATCAAATTGGAGGCAAACAAATTATACCAAAAAAAGGAGCCTTTTATTCTCCTTCCATAATGTTCTACTTTTTCATCTGTTTTTTCATGTTATCAACCCTTTCACTATTCTCATTTGAACCCTCCGCTAGCAGTATAATTACACAAGAATCGGGTAAAAATTGCATGACAGTAAAACATAAACATTTTTAAATACAGGTTTAACGTTTTTGGAAGGGGAGACGAACTCACGCAAGAGATTTTCCTTTGAAGACAACGGGAGGAGCCACTGCGGCAAAGATTACAAAGCCTATGTGCAACTGTAGACAGGAAAAGAACAAGAAACAATGAGATGATAGTAGAATGCCAAATGCAATCCTTCTTTGTGAAAAGGGATTATGGTTTGTAAGAAGCTATTTTGGACAAACTATTGAAATGTAAAAAAGAAGAAAAAATTCTAATTTTTTTGCCAAGAACGATAGTTGGCGATGAAACGTCAGAGATGATCATTCCTTTTAACATTTACATGTTCCCACAGTTTGTCCAAAATCGCTTATTACTAAAAGTGATGGTCTTTTTGCCATTTTCGTAAGGACAATGTTTAGTTTGCAACAAAAAACCATGGTTTAAAAGTTTACCAAATAAAATAGGAAGAACCAACCAAACTTCAATGCACTTTCTTTCCTGCAAACACAATTTGCAATGTTAAACAAAAATGGTAAGAAGGTGGGATGCATAAAGACCTGACCTCTACCCTAACGAGTAGAATGACAGTTTCCATGAAGACTAAGAAGATGGTATTGTGCTTATCAAAAAGAATTTGATAAGTTAGGGGTTTATATCAATTTAAAGTGGCAAAAAAGCTTGTGTTAAAGAGCTTCCAGTGATTCAACATGTTTTATGGTGATATGATTAAGAAAAAAATATAAGATAGACAACTTCGGAGAGTTTAGATTTACCTAAAAGTACGATAAAGCGGCCGGTACCACAAAACATACGCCAGTGGAACCCCTAATATGAAGTAGATAATTGCAAGAAACCATATCTGGGGGTCTATAGCAAAAGGAAAATAATGAACATATTAGCATAGTTTACTGACGCTTTGTTGGGTAACCGTGGGTGTCTAGGCCAGCTTTTGTTCACCTTGACCAATCTCTGAAGATAACAGGCAGGAAAATCCCCAATGTCCCTGAGGAGTTTCGAACCAATAGTTTCACTTTCACCCCCACAGATTGGTACCCGGGTCTTTAGTAATTCAAAAGAAAAAGGCATATAAGGGCTATAGGGTGAGTGACACGAACCTTCTCCTTTAATCCATGCCGTCGTTGTGGCTATAATATTCCAGAAAAGACAAAATACCAACCCTGTTTCGCATAAACATTATACATTATTAGAGACAGATTGTTCTAAAAATCATAATGTTTTGAAACATGGAAGAAGCAGGATAAAAGTTCTGGCAATTGATTTTGGAAATCATACTCCATCTGCACCATGAAATTGCAACGGCTAACTAAGCACGGATTTATCAAATTGTTTGATTACTAGTCATTAGTCAAATAGTTATCGCCCATGACTCCATGAGTAATGAGTAACAACTAAATGAAATAATTTTGTTGATCAAAATGGATAGCAACAATAAGTAATAATGATGGCAATGGGCAAACAAGTAATTTCATCTTCTGAATTTTATCCAAGAAGGAAATCTCGGAATTTTATGAGAACATTCGAGTTGAAACAAATAATACTTCCACCGTTCCATAAACTTTTGCAACTGTCTAACTCGGCCCATGTTTTATTAAATTGTTGACTCTGGACTAAAACTAAACTAATAGCATCAAAAAAGTTGAATTCCAACTTTGCAATTTTCTATGAACAACAAAGTTGGCAAGTTAAAAAAGTAATACCGACTCTAAACCAAACCGAATGGACTCAAAGAATCCCACAGATGTACCCAGCATTTTCCTCTACCCCAAAGGGTAAATTCCACGAATATTACAATGTCTAACTGTACACAACTTTTATGAAATTGCTCATGTATTAGTCATAATGTCTTCGAGTCCCCTAATAACATAATAAAACAAGGGCATCTTGGAGCCAAAATCAATAGCATCTGTAAGTCGTAACATCGAAAAAGGAGGCAGATAGGTAACTCCAACTTTCGTTTTTTGTTGGAAAAAAATGTTGCAATTTTCATGAGGCAAAACTACAAAATGGAAAAGAAAGAAAAAGATGATCGAACCACAAAATTTTGGTGGGTTATCTTTGCATGATAAGCAAATAAACACATACCCAAGTAGGTCGTGAATGCAACGTACTGCAATTTTTGTAGATGGATCGGTATCTCGCTTGGAATATCGTGATGAATGATAGGGAAAAATGGTGGCCAATTTTTCTCCTCAAGAACAATACCAGCTGAAATGGAAAGATGGGTCCGTTAGTGGCTTACATTGTAAGGCAAGCATCTATGAAGAAATTGGCATAAAGAAAACATTTTCAAGCAAATGAAATCAAGAATGCCAGAAAAACCTAAAAGGAATTTGTTTTTTTCCTTTGTTTGGTCAAATTGTCACAAATGACACAAGATTCTTCCCTTTCTAATTTAGGAATTACTTAATATACATTGTTAGTTCACATTTCTTTTTACACAAAAATGACTCTTTAAGGACAAGTATCAAGGTACTTATCAATGGACGCTTGTGACTGATCCAAGACTTGCTCGTGTGTAATACTTTTTACACCGACAGTTCATACAGCAGTTGGAATCTTGCATGTAATATCAGTAATTGAACGAACATGCAAAAATCAGAAAGTACCTCGAGCGGCTGCCTCCTCTTTTCGTTTTACTATCTGCAGAACACCAATCAAATAATTACTAGCTTTCCCAGTGGTGCATTCCTCTAATAAGCACAAATTAGTTGCTAGCATACAAGAAATTATGCATAATAAATACAATCAGATTATATTTATTTCTTCCATTACACCTTCATTTCAAGAATCCAAGTATCAACAAGAACTATTTTACAATTTCTAACTGCCCTTTGCGATTGATCATGATCACAAAAAGCACAATTGGGTTTGATCAACTAAACGTTTGGGGTTTGAATCCTACGCTTGTGTATTGCTTACTGAATGGATGGGTGGTAAAAATTTCACCCCCTCAGGTGTGGTTTCTTGAATCTTTTATTTCCTAATCCAAGAATGACAATATAACCTATATTCATATCATTTCATACATATGAATAGAAAATGTTACCTCTTCCCTCCTCCTCAGGTCAGCTTCCCTAGCTTGAAGCTCCCTCTCTTTCTTCTTCAGATCCTTTAACAAATTTCCATTGACAGTAAGGCGATGATCACCATAAACAAGAAAATGATAAACTCATAAGATCTAACAGTTGAACTCGAACCTACCGCAGCAGAATCAAGAGGAATGTCAACCGAGTCATTCCGATTATAGAAATCTGCTGGTTCATGAGGAAGAGGTGAAAGCCTAGAGTTTGGAGCAGAAGGAACGCTCTGAAAAACCCCAGCAAGATTATATACATAAACAACCGGAAGATTACATTTTTCACGTAAAGAAACATAGCAGAAATCAAAACCACCACCATATACAAGAAAAGCTGTTGCAGAACATACGACAATTGATTGAAAGAAGAAATGCAATTAAAGACCAAAACGAACAAGACTTACAAACATTAGGAAAGATGTGATCAAGTGCATATACATAATACATCTCAGAATAGCATACAACAACCATTTATCAATTTTGTATGAAAAAGGAGAAGACGTTAGACATACTGTCGTGTAGAATGAACCTCCATTAAAATTTGTCTTGCCAGCTCCTTGATCCTGATCATGTAAATATAAACCAATGTTGATATGGTTGAATATATATATATGTATACTATATTATAAAGCATTTGGCAAAAACTCTTAAAAACCATTCTTTATGCATGAAGTACTGTTTATTAATGCATATTACTTAAAATTTAAGATTACAAGTAAATTGTGCGTAAGTACAACTTATTAAAGCTTTGTTTTTGAATTAGTATAACTAACCGCAGATAAACATAATCAAATACAAGATAAACATCTCATTATAAATATAAAAAATTTAAAATATAATTAGGATAATCATTAAGTTTTAACATAATCATAATCTTTATAAAAATTATATTGTGAAGCCAAAAATAAATTACTTCGCTGTTAGACCTAAATTAAATTATAATAAAAAATTGAATTAAATAAAATTGTACAAAAAAAAACAATAACTTTTAAATAGTTAATTTTATATTAATATCGGTATATTTTTTTAAATTTATTTTTATTCAAAAGTAAAAACATTATCTTTATCAAAACCACATAAACCGTATTATCTATACTATCTTATTAAGCAAATTCATCAAAAGTCTTAAAGTCTTAAAATTTTAAATGACCAAGATACCCTTTTCACTTTTTCACCCCTTCCTCTCCTCACATACACTCATCCCCTCACATACATTTACCTCTCACATTCAACGGATTTTTTTTAAAATTATAATTTTAAATTTACATTTTATATCCCTATAATTAGTTAATTAATTACTTTACGTCATT